ATTTCAGCTGGGGCTGGGATCAATCCTGAGGCTGGGCCTCTCAAAAGGCCATCTCTGGAGATGCTGAACATATTTATTTCCCAGGGGATGCAGCAGGAGCTGAGGGGAAGGAGAACCTGGCAGATTTAGGAGCACTAGATCTAACACAGACCTCTGGATGTACCAGGTCCCATAGGGGCAGCAGGACACAGGAGCCCCCCAGCAGCTTGGCAAGGGGAGCAACTTGCAAACATGCACTGTGTGATCCCAGGGGGGCAGAAACACCCCAGGTCCTGAGCACAGGGAGGGGAATCCTCACACACAGACACTGAGCATCTGCAGGGCTGAAAACGCAATGGGAGCCAACAGGGACCGAGCGCGTGTGGGTGGTGCAGAAAACTGGAGGATGATAAGAAAGAGGGGAAAAAAGCTTCAGTTTGATGTGTTTAATACTGCTTGTCCTTACCACACTGACTGGCTTCTTCTCTTGGCCATTGCTTGAAAAGGCATTTCCACCTTGACCCTTGTGTGCTTTTTTGTTAAGATAGGAGTGTCTCCACTATTGCTGCCACAGAAGGTGGAAGGAAAGGTGGATTTCACATTAAGATTGGAAACACTTGTGTTTGATGTTAGGAAAAACATTATCAAGAAAAACCTTCTAACAAATGAGGTCAGTTATTCTCTCCAAAAACACTGGCAACTCGATGGTCATGGTGGAGTCATTGTTTCTAAACACAGAATATATGAGATTGAAATTCAAAATATTCTGGTTTCAGGCCCTCCTGCTACCTTCTTCCACAGCCTAGTGAAAAACCCATTTGTATCACAGTGTCTTCATAAGGTCCCCTCTGCTCTGACACAGGTGTCTGGAGATATCCTCAAGCAGCTAGTGGGGGAAAAAACTTTATTCAGAAGCTGGTGAGGGACTCCTAATTGCTACTGAAAATATTTTCAAAGCAGCAGATCAGCCAGCAGTCCCAGCTCCATCCCAGAGGCAAACACAATTTATTTGTCATGTTTCAACAATTTTTCTGCTGTTCATACAGTGTAATTAATCACTTGGCAGGCAGGGGAACACACAGAGGACTGAAAAGACAGCTCATCCTTTGATATGCAGCGATCATCCTGTATTTACAGATGGGAACAGAAAAAAAAAAAGGTATGTGGCAACTCAATACAGCAACAAATAATAAGAAACAAACAGCTTTGATTGAAACAAGGACCCTGCCATTATTGTTCCTTACAACATGCTCTTCCACTGGGTTTGCACATATGGCTTCTGGCCATTGATTCCAGATGAAAAGGCAACAACTGACATGTAAAAAGAGCCTGTCCCTTCACAAGGAGCACTCAGAAGTGCCCTGCTAGCTGATGGTGAGAGGGTCCAAGATCTGTCACTCAGCCCCTCTTCTGTCACCTGTTGGGGTGGTCTAGATTCAGGCTCCCTTCAAATCTGAACAGCCAAAATCCACCAGGTGAAGAGCTGACAAAGGAGCTCCTGTTCTGATTCCCATTTCCCTAAACTTAGGTGTTTAGACTGGCTAGACCCCCACCAGTGCTTCTCAGGGCCTGCAGTGCAAACCTTGGCCAGAGAGCTGCAGATGCAGCCAGCCCAGCTCCCTGTGAGTCCTGTGGCCAGTGCTCCCGGCTGGCTGCGTGCCCGGGAAGGCTCCGAGCCAGCCATTTGGAAATTTGAGACACAGGCACTCTGCTTTGTTTGAGCTGGCTCAATCTGGGCCTGCCTTTTCACACACAGGCTTCAGCTGTGGATTTTGTGTTGGTTACCATCTCCAAAAGGCTATCCAAGGGCTCTGAAGTGCTACTAGATGCCTGCCACAAAGCAAACTGGACTAGGGAGACTTTTGTCTCCCTTCAAACTGAAGCCACAACAAGAGCTGAGGCCATAGCAGCAAACACTGGGAAAGGAATTTGGGATTGACAAATTGGCTTCTGGCAAATTCTGAATATTTCTATTACCTCTCTAAAGGCTTGAGAGACAGAAATTATACTAATGAACAGCACTTGACTGAAGCAGTGCCTCAAATGGAGCACAACTCAGACTTTAACCAAATCAACAGACTCAACTCACAGACAGAGAGAAAAGGTTTATTTCTATGTCCCAAAGCTGAAGGGCTCTAGAACTGCCATCTCCTAACTGCAATCCCATCCTCCTAAGTTTCTTTGGACCAGCTGTCTCTGGTCCAAAGAGAAAACACAGTCTGCAGCCTGAATCAATGCTGATGGAAGTCAGTGGGACATCCTCTAGTAACCCATAAAAGTTCCACTCTTTATGTTCTGCCTATCACACCTTAACAGCCTTGAGCTCAACAGCAGAGCTCACCATTGGCCTGTGGTATCACTCACACAGCCTCCCAATACAGGCCATTAAAAAACTTCCATGGAATGGCCCTTACATTTTGAATTGCATACACAATAGGATTTTTTTTCCTGCCTTTATTTTTTTTGACAAAGTTTTCAGACATTAAAAGCTTGTTGGCTTTTGCTCTTTGTTTACACTGAAGAAAAACAAAAAGTTAAATCAGACCATTTAAAAAATGTCAAATGAAATGCCCCAAGCTCCTGTTATCAAGGGGTTTTATGTATCCCTTTAAATTAATTGCACTCAGTTGATTTTAATTAAAGGCTGGAGGCTTGGCAGTTTCTTCTTCCCCATTTGACTCAACATATGCAAACAGCTGGACCAGTTCAGCACTTCACAGTGGCTCCTGTCACTTCATCCCACCTCTTGGAATTACCTTTACCTCCTCAGTTTGCTGCCTTTGGGCTTCAGAAAGCTACAGTACAGGGAGGGGGCTCTTGGGAGGGGAAGCAAAAGTGAAAGCAGAGGACAGGGGAAACTTCCTTTCAAGTGATCAGTGCAGAGACAGCATAACAATGAACCAGCTCAGTATTTGCCTTTGTGTAACTACCTGCCTTTTTATTCCAGCCCCTTGGGTGGAATAAAAAAGATGCATTCCCTTTTAAAGTATCTATTTGTACCATCATAGCAGTTGTGTCCTTCTCCTGCCTGGGAATTTGAGGGCACCTGAGAATTAGAGACATGCAAAGGGCATACTGGGCTGAAAATCAGATTAGACAGGCCACTACATTTGTGCCAATGGGAGCTGCCCACAAACTTGATTACAGCACCAAGAATTCACACTCATGAAGGTCTGGGGGATGCAAGGACAGTGTATGTGTTTGCCATATGTTCTTCTTTGGGAACGGGGAACAAACACCATGAACGGTGACAGCCTCAAATCTACTGACCCTCAGTTCTCCTCTGCTTCATCAGCTGGAAAATTCCAACTTCCTGCCACAGCAGAGGATCCTCGAGGCGGGAGCAGAGGCTGCTCACGCCCTTTCCCAGTCTTTAGCTGACATCTAGCGAACAGTTTCCAAACTGCACCTGGAGGACCTGGAGATGGGAGATGGAACCAGCCCTTCTGGAGAGCAGTGGTGCAGAAGAGCTGTGGGATGAGTGTGGGATGTACAACAGTGCACACCATTCCCTGTTCTCTCCCCACCGCGACAGCTCACCTGGCCTGGGCAGGTGTGGAAGGACCTGGTTCTGCTCCCAGGCTGCACAAATCCCACACTGTGTCTATTAAAGTGGACAAACACTGCTGCAGGACCCCACTGCAGTGATGCCACCCCCTGCAGGGACCATCCAGGGGGCTGGTGGACATCAGGAGTGACCAGCAAGGCTTCCAGCACAGCAGGGTCAGATCAGCTCTTTCTGAACAGGGAGGGTCACCCTCTGCCCCCTCCCTCTCCAGAGGCACAAATCCAGCACTCAAATGGGAAACTCAGCAGCTGTTACCAGGATTAGCAACTGCAATTCCAACCCTCAGGCTCTCCTGGAGGATGGATGGCAGAAGAGGTGCAGTTTGCAGAGTTCTGCAGTTTGTCTTCAAGAGCTCCCCCCAGCACATCTTTGCATGACAGCAGATGTGAAATCTCTAAGGAACACAGACCCAACTGTCACCTGCATTCTAAGAGTGTCAGCACCAGCCTGACACATCTGCGTAGCAACAGGGGAACATTGACTGTGCAGATCCTGTTTGCATTTGTAGCCTCTATCAGCTACTGCAAACCAAGGAGTTTGGGTTATGGCATCTATTAAGGTAACCAAGCATGGTGGGTATCTGTGTCATCAGGTACAAAAACCAGGGGTTTAGAAACAAGCAGAGTGGTGATGGGCACTGAGGTGCAGGAAACGTCTCTGTATTTTTTGTATGGACAGTGAAACCAACTGCAGCTCACCAGCACACTTATCACATCCTTCATCAACACATGAGAATTGTCCTCACACTTCACTACCTGTGAAGGTAAAATGCTTTTCCTGTTGATTTCTGTATCATTTGCAGTCTGTAAGACCACTGACACACAATCCTTCTCTGAATGCATGATGCTCACTGCACCTTTAATCTTTACATGGGTGGAGGTGATTAAAACCAAAGTGAAGAAGGGACAAAGAGATGCTAAAAGGAAAACTTAGCAGTGCTCTACTTCTTAGACCAAAGACACTGGCAAATTCAGGATAAAAATGAGGACCTTTAATGGTTTAAAAATATGCTATACCCACCAGCCAAAACACCAGCAAAGATTTCCAATGGTGTATTGTTTCTGCTTCCCAACAGCTGCTGATGCCCTGTTTATTATCTGCAGAAGGTCCCTAAGGACTTGTTCACCTACAAAGTTTGACTGATTAAATTAGATACAAACCAGTGTTTTCCACTTGTGAGGTGCCAGGGAGCTTGTACAGGGATCTCCCTTCACAGCCAGGTGAATACTGAGGCTTGTAAGAGGAACATTACCTAAATGCTAAATACTTTCCCACCAGTTAACCCATGTTAAATGCAGTTAAACAGTATGGATGGCTTGCTGACAGCCATGAACCTAGGAAGGAAGAGTCAATAGGCCAAGTAAAACAGCAACATTTGCAATGATCCAGCTACACATCACTCCAGAGGCTTCCTCAGCCCACTAACATGAGACAGAAACAGAGCTTCTCTTACCTGGTAATAGTAATCATCATATTGTGGCTGGTAGTGCTGGGGCTCTGAGTTTTCAGGAGACAGGACATCTTTTAGTAACTCTTCACAGCCTGGCAAAGAGAAACAAGACAAAATGGTCAGGCCAAGAGCTTATCTTCCATTACATGGACAATGGAGGAAGAAACACTGGTTTCTAGCCAGTCTGTATGCACAAAACCTTGGAAGGCAGCTTTGGGATTTATTTAAATAGATGTAACACAACTCTGACTTCAGAGTTCTGCCCAGCGCACATTTAACGTGTGGAACTTGAAAAGTGCAATTATCTCAGCATGGATACACTAGCCTGCAATGAAACCGAAAGCTGAGCATGGCTTGGCTCAGTAAACTACCCTGTGGGGTACCAACCCACCTCCAACCAAACCCAGGCTCTGGAGTCAAACACTGGATTTGCAGGCTTGGCATGAGCTACCAACTACTGCACATCAGTGTCAGGTGGAGCTGCTTCTAATTTTCTCTGGTCAAAATGACAAAGGGACAATGCCTAAGTGTCACAAATCCCCCTTCAAAAAAAACCTCTGTCACAGAGTGTTTCACAAGCAAGTATCTATGCACTGCAACCAGAGACTTGAAGCTTGTGTGTTTGCTTTTGTTAACAACCACATTAAGAGCTGGAAAAATCAATGTCTGTATTTCCCTCAGTCTTTCTCTCATCTGAAAACCTGAGACAAATATAGAAACACTGAAATCACCAGATGCCTTGTTCCTCATTGATTACCAGTGACTCCACTTGGCAGGGTGAGCTGCAGAAGGCAGTAATGTCAGGCCAGGTTATTTCAGAGCACCCAGCTCACAGCCTTGGGCCCAGGCTGTGTGAAACCTTCTCAGCATTGCTGTGCACTATCCTACTTGGAAGCTGCAATTGCCCAGCAGTTATTCCTCCCTTCCATCCCAGCACTAATACAATATATTTGGCTGTGACATTACACATGGATCCCAAAGCAGGTGAGCCAGAGGAGACAGGGGGATGGAAGGAAGTGTGAACTGAACAGGTTTATACCATTAGCTGACCTTTTCTCCTGGTTTTGCATGAAGGAACAACATCTGTAGGGATGAAGACATGTTGTGGTTATGGAGAGGGGTCCCTTGCAAAGGAAAGGAGTACTTTAGAAACCAGAAAAAATTACCAGATGGAAAAGCCTAACAGGGGGATCACTGTGCTGTCCCTGTCTGCCACACACAGGTACATGCTGAGGCAGCACCTGCTGGATGGAGACATCACTAGGACTTCAGAAATGTCACATGGACAAAGACAGCAAGACTTGTTTCCCTTTTTCAGCTTCTGCAGCAAAGTGAGAGTCTCAGGTGGTACTGAGCAGATAAATGAGGATAAATGAAGCTGTTAAATACCCACTTTGCTGGAGAAGTGAGTGGGCAAGAATGTGTGGTAGGGTCACTTCCCAAAGAGGAGTTTATCTGGGATTAACAATCAAAAACATAATCTACTGACTGACAGAGGAAAGATGTTAAACTTGTTTGCCTGGAGAGAGCATCTTTCTATACAACTTGCCCTACCTGTAACTGTCACATTTCCCACCCAGCCATAATCCTTTTCTTCCTCTTGGTTTTAGCTTAAAGTGCTCTGTGCTTGCCTAAGGTTATTTGCTAGTCCTCTCACAGAGGAAAATTACATTTATTTTTTCTACCTTTTGACATTAACAATTAAAGCTTATTGCTCATCAAACTGCCTTGTGCCAGCACCCACTGTGAGACTCATCACACATATTAACTGCTTTGCTAAAAGGTCTCTGCATGAGATGGAGCAACCACTCCTTAAAGCGAATTACCTCCAGCAAAAAAGGAAATAAATACCCAAGTGCTACACAGTAATGGATGCAGGTTACTGTAATGAACAGAGCATGTTTACAGTGTTCTAAAATTTCTCAACAACAATAGTTTACACCATAATTCCAAGCTTTACTTTCCTAATACAGTTGTGCTCACAACAGTGCTCTTCCAATTTTCTTCTTTTTTTTTTTTTTTTTTAGTGGGGAAAAGTCACAAAAGTTGTGGATCTTCAAATAAGGATTTAACTGCCCAAAACAAGGGTGTGAGAAATGTTTCTACCTTGCCTCCTTTCAAAAGGCCAGCCAGACTGGTCTGTTAGAGCTAGAGTCACAAACAGCTCCCAGATCTCCAGGGTCTGAAATGTAGAATCTTCTGTGTCTCCTCTCCTGAACACATTCTTTCATTTCCCTTGTCCATTAGGGAGAACCACTTCATGATAGCTCTTGGCCTGTCATTTATTCAGTAAAAACACTGGGGAGAAAAGCATTGTCTCCTTTGCATCCAACTGACTCAGTGCAGCCCTCACCACTTCTTCACCAGAGCACCTGACCCAGGCTTTTACAGCCTGATCCAGAACCTGGCCAAGCCCCAAATCCATTTCCAGAACATCAGCAGCCATTTGATCCAATTTGATTACCAAACTCCATAGCTTAAAATGGACAACAAAGCCAAATCTTGCTTTTATTGTAGTCACAGGCCAAGTTTCCATTGGTGCTGGCAGATTCAGGGTGTAAGTTCATCTAAGCCAGTCTCCTTCTGCCAAGGTGAGTTTTTAGTGGGGAGGTGTCTGGGTGTGCAGCAGGCAGTATCCCCTGTGCCCTGCTCTGCATGCAAGCTGGCCTCACAGCCTGGCTCTCTTCATCCTCCTGGAAGATCTGCAGGTCATTATATTCCATTAAAAAGGGAAGAAGAGGAGGAAATGCTGAGAGACCATTTTCCTCTGAGATTCCTAAACCACATCACCACTACCTTGCAGACATCTGAACCTGTTCCAACATCCAGCAAATCAATGAAAAAATATCCAGTGGTTTCAAGAATCTCAAGATTGTGCCACTTTTTTATCCCTGTTAAGAACTGAGTTTTAAGAGTAAGTTCTCTGTTCTCCTCTTCCCTGTGGGGACTCAAATTGGAATCTCTTCCCTCTGGAAGAGGACTGATGCTGAAGGTCTTTTCCTTGGACCACCCCTTCTCACCAGGAAGGTGATGCACATCACACATGTGATGAATCAGCTTTCTTATTCAGTGTTTTTCTGCAACAGTGCCAATACAATCTCACCTTTTGCTCCCCTCATCTAAATATAATTTGAAATTTTCAGGTAGTCCAGAGGGTTACACAAAGGTGTAACATAAAGAGAGAACACTGGAGTGTCTCCAATGCTGTGCCATGTGTGCTCTTATTACCTAGGACATGTTCTTACTAGAACACAGCCTGGGAAGTGCAGTGAGCTAAATTAGTGTGCCACAGTCCAGACAGAAAAAACCAACAAATCAAGGTTTGCTCTGGCAAATCTCAATATGGAAATAGGAAGGTACTGGACAAAGATTTGTTCTTTGCTAGCAGAACCACTCCTGAGCAGAACCCCACGTGCTGAGGTCTGCAGAACTGCCATGGTGGATATTTCAAGCTGTGCAGCAGTGTGCACCCAAGGCTAGAATCTGTCCAAAAATAACCCATTGCAATGGAGCAAAGGAATAATTCCTGGCTACTTTAAGGGCCTCTTGCACTAGAGATGTCCTATTATTGCTATAAATTCATTTTCCTGGAAAAGGTAGAACTGAAAGCCACTTACATGGCTGATTAGAGATATTTCATTTGGATGTCTACTTGTATCTTAAGATATTAATGTGCTCAATGTTCTCTTTGCTGCAGTTGGGAAAATTTCATCTACATTTCTGGACAGCACTTGGCAAGAAGATCTATCTGTACTGCAATAACAGTGAGGAAGCAAAGAGAGGAAAGAGTAAGGCAGGAATAGCTCCAGGTCCTTGTGCAGCCACCGCTGCAGCTCCACTGAAGGCTGCCCTTTATGGAGAAACAGTGTGAAAGGCTGTGCTCAGAGTAAATCACTGTGACACAGACTGGCAGCAAGCTTGTGTCTGAAAAAAGGACTGAACAATCAGATCACAAAATGGGAGTGGCCAGAAGCTGCCGAAATTTCCTTCCTGGCTAAAAACACCTGATGAGCCAGCACAGAAGCAGCTTCTCTGTCCACTCAAGAGACTCTTTGAAACGTGGATGTGTATGAGTTCTAGTTTAACAAAGCACTGAGTCACTCTCTAGCCTGGTCTGACAAAATTATCTGAGTTTAAAATTTTTATCCTAATACTACAAATGAAAAAGCAAACACAATTCATTTGGCCAGAACAGGGTCATCTCCAGTCCTAAGCAAAGAGGATGAAAGTCATTTACAAGTCACTGAAGGGGAAGACATGAACCTTTAACTTTTTCAGTTCACTCAGGTGCTAGACATGATATCCCTTATGAGATAATTTTAAGAATTTACAATCAGTTTTATTTATAAACGGTTTTCCCACCCTAACAAAAATTCAATTTGCAAACAGACATTCTGGCCACAAATAAACTCAATTTTAGCAAAGCTCTTTCCTGCAAATGCTCCAAGAAGGAGATTTAACCCATAACACATCAGACAATTTTCACAGGCAATTAAGCAATTTTAATGCTATAGGAAATCAAATCTGGTTACCTAATTGAATGTAGTTGGTTTCTGGCATTTTTCCTAACAGCAAGAGCTTTTCACTTTATCTGCCCTTGGATCTTTAGTGGTGTATTAGACTCATTTATGGTTTCAGAGTGTATTTAGTGAAGTCTTTGAAAACTCTCAAGTTCTTTCAGGAGTAGCCAATTTCAGTTCATTGAGCAGCCACAAGTAATTAATTCCAGGAGAGCTCAGCTCTTCACATTCACTGACAGTCCTTGTCCCTGAGCCATCCCAAGCACCACCCCTGTCAGTAAGTTATTCTTACCAGAACAGATAGATCCATCAGATCAGCTCCAGTTACAGCCTCATTGAAGTTTGAGATCTACAGCTACAAACCTAAATGGGTTCATGTAGACTTTGGGCTTTTCTGATGTGCCTTACTGAAATTCCCATGCTGGTGCAGCTGTCCTGGTCCTAGATATTATGGGCAAATAAACTCCCTTTTACATGACTGCAACACACCCATCTCTTAGTCTGTGCTGGATCTTCAGGGCACAGCTGGCACAACACTTTTCTCAGCTATGGGACTGCAAATTAGATTTTATAATTAGTTGAAGGAGATGGCCAAAACTTGACACTGGTTTTGTGAGAAATATGTTTGCTTGGAGCATCTGAATGAAACTATAAAAGCTATTAAGAAAAAAAATAATCGCCAGTGAAACAGAAGGCCACAAATATTCTGCTTTAGAAAACTTTGTTTTGAAAAAACACCATCAAATTTCATACTCTATTATTTTCGTATTATTTCACAGTCCAAATAACCTGTCATAGTCTGAGCTAGCAGAACAGCCAACATCCCTTTTGGAACATTTCTTTGAAACATTGGGTAAATTTGTACTCCTGAAATTTTCATTAAAAAGTGCTAGGAACTCACAGAGAAACATATCTACTTTTTAACTTTTAGGTGCTTATATATAAGCTTGCTTCTAGAAGCTTTCCAACCAACTGCAGTAATTAGATGCTTCAGGATCTAGGGAAGCACAGAGATGGATTTTTGAAGGCACATAATGGTCTGTGTTACTTTTTTGAAGATTCAAAGGTTGCTATTGCTGCGGGTGGGGAAGTGTATAAATTCACAGCTGTGCTTCTTCCATGCTGTTAATGAATATGAAGGAGATCCTACAACTCTCCATTTTCAAATTCCATAACCAAGCATAACTAAAATGTCCTTAAAACTTCTACAACATGAAGGAAAGACTCCCTTGCTCCAGGAGACAACAGGCTGTATGATTTCATCTGAACAAAACAGTGACTCTGCTAAAGCACAGAGATTCAGAAATGCAGAAATGCTCTGTGCTGACGTGGCTCAGTCTCTCCCGTTTATAAAAGCCATGACCCTCCAAACACTGCACAGCAGCCAGCACTGTTTTCATGGTTAAAATAAGCTATAAAGTCAGAATATATCTGCCTTTGTATTTTAATTCTGTATTAATCCGTGTTCATACAGTACCCTCTTATCACGGTGAGCTGTAACACCGAGGGCAGTAGGGGGAGCTCCCCCTTTATTAGTCAGGGTTTGGGTACTTTTAACCAGAATATCAAAGTAAAGAGATTATTGGAAAGACAACAGAAATCTTAGAATACAAGGAACAGGTCAGACTCAATTAGAGCCTGGTCCTGCAAACATATCTGACTGTGGAACCCACCAGCCTGCAGAGCACAGGGAATTAACAGCTCCACTCAAGCTTTTAAGTATTACAAGTGGCAGAAAATATTTACTGGATCAGTACAATATAAATTCAGAGCAGCAAAAACACTCATTGGCTCTGCTGAGCAAACAGTAATGGTTCTCATGCTGACCCTGCTGAAATTAATGGGAATTCAGCCTTTGAGTGATATTCTGGCTGCTCTCAGTGTCTCTGAGCAGTGCCACAAAGCACTTAGGTAAGAGGCTACAGGTGTCATTTCATGGCAATTGCTCTACAGGCAGACAGTTATTAAAGCCCTGCAGGCAGCAGATAGAGAGGGCAGCTTGAGCACAAGTGAAACCTTCACACTCTGGCATTCCAATGAAATTGCTGCAAAGCTTTAAATTTGATGGCAAGCCTATCCCTGGCTCTGGCAAAGCCTAATTGCATGGGGAAAGCAGCCTGGACAGCAGGGACTCAGCACAGATGCTGAGGCAAAGTCCTTTAATCCACAAAAGACCAGCAGAAAAAGCAAAGCTTTCCATAAATAGCAAGCACCATACCTGTCCAGTATTCCACCCCAGAGACAAAGTGGGATGGAGCTCCTTCAGCACCTTCAGCCCTCCAGAATACTCACCTCCATTTACACAAATCTTCTCCACCACTTCCCAAGGTCCTACTGTCAGTGAGATTTCTCATCCTTACCCACAGCTCCTGCTACTCACCAGCTGGAGGAAATGAACTGTTTTCCACCTGACAGTCCCAGCAGCTGCTGCAGAGATACATGACCCATGTGTCATGAGGTTTATGCAGCTCCAGGAGGAAACAAGTCCAACAATGGACTTGATGTCCATTTGTAGAGGAACACAACCCTTCTCATGTGTACCATGCAAGACTAAACAATGCCCTGGTTTATGGAGGAGAGAGGCCAAGCTGCAGATTTTAGATCCAGGGATTGGAGTTTCTCTATCAACCAGTTACAGAGCATTAAATACTTAGATGTTTGGGATTTTTTCAAGTTCCAGTATTTAGCTTTTCACAGAAATTCAACCCTGGATATGAAATACTCAAACCAACATCATCAGAGGTCAACTCTGATTTGAATCTGTTGCTCTTAGATGTCTGAAACCTCATGATTTAAATAAATTCAAGGCACTGAACCACTAAAAAACCTTGACACTATATCACCTATGTGCAGCAAACAATTTCATCACCATACTATAAAGGCAAGCAACTTTAAGACAAATTAATTTGAAATCTCATAAATAAGAAATATAGTAAGGCATTAGGATTGTAAAGCTTGAATTTAAACATTTGGCTTCCATTGCTAAGAATAGCATAACTTCATACTCTATTACTGAAAACCCCAGTGGATTTATAGTAGCATCTCATTTTGCTCTATTAATCTGACTGCCCCAAGCAATTGTAATAGGCTGAGATGTCAAAGAATCATATTTATAATCTGTTGCTGCCAAGACAAATTGCTTTTGTTAGATAATAAGCCTGCTACTCCCCTTGGGATGTGGCTGCACTAAAACAACATGGTGGAGGCTTTCCATTCTGAAAGGCAGACATGCCCTTTCTGAACTTTAACATAACCAATTTAATTTTGAAGGAAAATATGGCAGGTAGCCAAAGATGAATAAAATTTCCATGCTGTGAAGTGAGCAATAGAAGCAGTTTTTCTAAAGAAATGCTGTGAAAACATGCAGCACAGTGTCTTATCAGAAATAGATACAGCTGCTGCTGCTTGGATGATAAACACTTAGCACTGAGTCTGTGTAAGTGTTGAAATGCTAATGATGTGCTAAGGCAGCTCTAGGTGATGCTGCAGAACTGGGTGATTTCTCTGCATCTGTTCACAGCTACATCCTAACAACCATCACACAAATGATCTGGACCCTACATGCTCCACACCTGGGCTTTAAGCTGCTCATAAACCTGGAGTGCAAGGTACACCAGTTTGTCCTGGTCACATCTTTGCAGGATTAAACCTTAGGATATGAACACAAGAATTAGTTTCCACAAGGTGAGCAGGGATGAAAACCCCCAAGGCCTCATTCCTGATAACTCAATATTCTCATGCAGTCCCCACAGTAAAGGAGATGCAGCTGCCCACTCCATCACTGAGGGTACATGGACAAGGGGACAGTTACCACAGAAGAGATGTTCTGGGTCATTTCTATCCCTTCCTGATCATATTTTGTGCATTTGTGGAATCTTTAGACTGTGAATTACAGAAGACACCAGATGATTTACAGAGCTTGTGTCTTAAACTAGAACTCAAGTTTGCTACAGCATTTTCTGCTCAAGGAAAACCCCAAACAGAGACTTTAGGGTCTGGGCACAAACGGAATAGCTTTCTTCCTGGGCTTTCTCTTGCCTTCTCTTCACACATTGGTGTCACCTTGGATGGTGTCTCCAAAAATATTGATGAGAGCAGCTTCTCACTGTAATTTTACCTAATTATACACTGTCTTTGGCTGCCACAAACTTTAATTAAAAGTACTGTGGTTTTATGTTTTTGCATCGTTATATCTTCGTAATAATCTCATCATAGCAGACTGCCCAGCTTCTCCTGGAACCACACCACGATCACTGTGACATTCACCCTGTCCCTGAAGTGAAGCCTCTGGGCTGTGACATCACTGCAACACTTTAGAAAGGACACACCACGTGTCCAGAAAAGATGGATTATTTCACTATGGAAAGTTAGAAAAGCAATCAGCAGCAAATCAACTGAAGTCCCCCCTCACTGTTTTTTTTTTGTTGCCTTTAGGCTAAGCTCTAAAGCATAACAATGTCAAGGACTGTTTCCTTGGAAAGGAGGTGGTTGGATCCACCCGATCTTAATCTTCAGGGTTTGCATCACCAACTTGTAATTAACTTATTTCCTTCCAATACATGACCCCAAGTACCCTAACAACATGAATTAATTATACCTTTCAGATACCTCAAGAGGAATTTAACAGTCTTAAATTTCCTAGTAGAGAACTGAAAGCCCAAGGGCTCCCTAACTCCCTGAGGTAAATCAGTGGCAGCACCAGATCAGAATCTGGAAGTATCAAACCTGGGCCCTGTCGGTTAACTACAAAGCTACTCTTTATTCTACTGTATTTGTCTTTAAACAACAACACATTTATTCTGATAAAAATTAGCAGCAAACCAATGTCCAAGCACCTATGGATGCAGAAACTCTAGCATTGCTCACCATTAATGCATGATGAGATGCACAAAAAGGAAAAATATCCTGGCTCTGTTCCCAGAGCTGCTCTACTGTCACTACGAATAACCAGAGTTAAAAGAGAGGATGTCTTTGATCATTACATTTTCTGCAACCAGAGAAACATTAGTGGAACTGAACAGGATTATTTTTAAGAAATATGCACATACCTTTGATAGCAAAAACTCCGTGACAGAAGTCCTTAAAATTGATTCTTCCCAAATCATTCGGGTCCAAGTACTTTGCCAGTTTTTCCACCTAAAATAAAAGATGGTAAAATATGTGTTGAGCTTGGCGTATTGTCTGTTGCTCTGATACAGTCTGTATCTTCTACTAAAGCCTTCAAGTTGAAGAATACTCATACTGTTCACTTGAACCAGCCAATAAATGGTTCTGCAAGGAGAAACCATGTCTTATATGACCTTGGTGTTGACCAAAACTTTTTCAGCTGGGACACATCAATCCTGTCTTATGGGGATCTCAAGAGCTTAATAAGGAGAGAATCTGTGACTTATCCTCTCACCATAGAGGAGGGTGGTAACAGAATCTCTTCTCTGGGAGCTCTTGCCATGCATTCAGCTCAGAGGAATTTAAAACCTTAGTGATTCTCCACCCCTCTATCACAAGTTCTCAGGGACAGGGAAAGGACAGACCAAGATGTGCACAGCCCATAGCAGTCTCATTTCCTAAATAATCTGGATAATAGGAGAGAAAACCCATTGGGCACTTGGAATGAAACCAAACTTCCTTGACACGGCAGAGAATAAAATTTTTGTACAGGAAAATTAACAGTATGAAAATATATTAATGTGATGAGAGGATGGTTGTGCCTAGTACACTGTCACAGAGACATTTTATGAAAAATCCTTTCCTTAGGATTTTTTTCTCCTGAGAAGCTGAAAAGCCTCAGGAACAAATTGTAAACAATGGTTATCTGCTACTGTGGAATGCAACAGGTGGATCTAGGATTGGTCTCATGTGGTTGTTTCTAATTAATGGCCAATCACAGTCAGCTGGCTCAGATTTTCTGTCTGAGACACAAGCCTTTGTTATTCATTCCTTCTTTTTCTATTCTTAGCTAGCCTTCAGATGAAATCCTTTCTTCTATTCTTTTAGTATCATTTTAATATAAAATATATCATAAAATAATAAATCAAGCCTTCTGAAACATGGAGTCAGATCCTTGTCTCTTCCCTCATCCTAAGACCCCTGTGAACACCATCACAGTACCCTGTGCAAAAAAGCAATGTACTTACTCCTTATAATCTCAGCTTCACAGTTTAGTCTTTCTGATCATTATTCACCAATAGAATGAGATTATACTGAATTTAAACACAGTCACCAAATTAGTACTTGCCCCAAAAATGATCTGGCAAATTTTTCAGGAAGGTTTTGGGATAGAGGAAGAAAAGCAGCCTAGACTGGAGAGGCTTTTGTGCTGTCTTGAAAAAAAATGAATGGAGGAACAAGCAGCCAAAGAGGAATAAAGTGAGCAGCAGACCAGTCCAGGGAGGTGAGTGCACACCTGGACCCACAGCTGGCTGCTCTTTTTGACAACCACTCTGCTGGAGCTTGTGTACATCCCCTTGTGTGCCAGTGCCTTTCCCTGTAGCACCTTGCAGGGACCCTCACTGAGGCAGAGGCAGCCTCTTACTGCTCCTAAGAGCTCACAGGCAGCTCCACAAAGCCCTGCCCTTGGCTGGGCCCTCTAGACACTGAGGAGTTTGAACAAGCTGAGTGCAGGGACAGCAGGCGTGGAGGAGAGCAGAGAATCCTGCTGCAGCACAGCCTGTGTGAGCTCAGATATGTCAGTCTGAGCAGCAACAAAAGCCCAGCTGCAAAGACGCAGCAAATGAATCCAGATGACCTAGTTTCTCAATTTTCTGGTGTGGCTTTTTCCCACGTGCTAGCAAAACCCCAGCAGCTTCCCAAAGCCCTGCAGATAATTCACTCGTGTGCGCATGACACTTCTTCTTACAGGCACTTCTCAGAGCCTAAAAATTCCCTCTGTACCAATAACTGCCATGATAAGCCAAAGGGCTCATTTAGAACATGCAAATCTGGATGAAAAAAATGAAAAAAAATTTTACTCATTTGCAAAATTCTATACTGAATGAGAAATGCACAATTTGATCCTGACATTAAATCCTTTCCCCTCTCATTTTCCTAGGGAAAATAAAAAACCAGCTTGTATAGGCAGGGCAAGTAAGGAGCTATATGATGAGTTCAGAGCCCATGACAAGTTAGACATTTTCTGAAAACTTTCATATTGCAGAAGGCTTCCAGAGCTCCAGTCCTGCCAGCTGGGCAGTAGAGCCCAAATGTCAACTATGGTGTGACTCATGATCAAATTTCCACCCTGGCAGCATCACAAGGAATTACTGTAACCCCACTAATTTAGAGCATCAGAACACACATCTGTGTTTCAAAAAAAAAAAAAAGCTGCTTCACCAGAAACCCAGAAACCACAGTGTGTGGTTAATGCACCCCAGACTAGCTGAAAATCCTGACTGAAACCAATTAAGTAGAGACATGCTTGATATGGAAAATCCGGGTTGGTGTTATCCCTGTCACCTTCACAAACAACAATTGTGTTTTAAATTTTAATGCACAGATTCCTGCAGCCAGCTGGGAAGCCTCTAGTCTATTTAATATTGTGCTATAACAAGTGGTGTCACTGGGTGTGCCCAGTGAATCTGGCACTTTAAGTTTATTTCTCAAAGTTGATCCAATAATTTTTGTCCACTAGCTGCTCAGACATTTAAAATTACACTTTTAAAATCAGATTAAATGAGATGTTGTATGCCTGGGAGTGTGTATTATAGAGGAACAGAGGATATGTTCACATTTAGGTCTAAGCAATGTCTTAAGAGTAAATGAAATTATCACCTGAGCAAAGTGCTTCAGTGTCCAGTTTCCCCTAAATCTAATTTGCAGGTTTTCAGTTGGGTATTACAATGCAAATAACTGACATCAGTGCAGGAGATGACAAAGAATTTGCAGAACAGCCTGATGGAATTAATGCCAGCAGTGCTCACATCTTCAGCCAGGAATAAACACAGCTCCCATCGCAGGTCAGGGGATAAAAGGATTTTGATCACCAGGGACTCTGTTTGGGTGGATACTTGCACAGGGTTTGTGCATTAATATACACACATATTTGGTACATAAATCTCTGCATATTTGCACACAGTTTTCAAGAGCCTGCAGTGCATTGATCATGCTTTTTTACCAATAGCTTTCTGGAATAAGGCAAGAAGCTCTTCCTCATTAATTCCAGACTGAAGGCATTGCTTTAAGTTAAATTTCAATCTGTGGCCAAATAAACTACAGCTACCCCTAAATCTTCTCTGGTGTCCACACTGCATAAACCACCCTTCTGCTTCACTTTGTAAAGAAATAAAGTCCTTTCCTCCTTCTCAGAAAGGGCTGGCTCCCCACAGTGAATCAAAAGTTGTTTTATTTATTCATTGCCTTGGGAACCTCATGGATTTGTCAGCCTACCTGGCAGGCTGGGGGACACTGAAACATTTTTTGCAATCAAAAACCCCCTGGACTGGGGGAGTGCACAGCCCCTGCCAGGGAATGAGGGACAGCAGCTCTGTCCTTGGTGATGGAACAGGTGGCACAGCCCAGGTGGGACACGCAGCATGGGCCAGTCCTGGGCACACTCAGACTCCTGGGCCCCACATCTCTGGGCTCTGCTGGGCTCTGCTGATCCTCTGGCAAGGGACACAGGACCACAAAACCAACCGCTGCCAAAATTCAGTGTGAAATTAGTGTGTGATTGTTGTGGGACCTACAGGCAGCACAGGGAGCACGGTGTGCTCCAGAGTTTAACATCAGAAGTCATCACAATGAGATGGGGCAGTGTTTTGGGCTGGGGACAGACACTCTGCACAGAGCAGTCCCCCACCATGTGGGACAGACAGCACAAACAAGGATTGCAAACTAGTTCTTCACTGTAGGAAGTGAACAAAGGCAGAAAAAATGAGCTGCAGGCTCAATAATCCAGCTGGTTCTTTTGGCAGCTGCAAGGGTGTCTCTAATGAACTCTTCAGCAGACATCCAATAGTCAGACAGAAGACATAAATATAAGAGAGAAGAAATAAATCATTTTTCTTTGGGAAACAACTGGAGAAAAGCAAACCTCTGTCCCTATTGTTTAACTGGCCTGGATGAATGGGTGATTATCCTTTCAATGCAAACATGTTTCTCCACTGTAACAAACAAGGTGCTGCCTCCTGTCCCTTGGCTGTCCCAGCCATCCTGACTGCCCTGCAAGGGCGTGTTTGCCCCGTGCTGCTTTCTGACACACAATAAGAGGCTGGGAACACTTGAAGAAGCAGAATGGAAAGGAGGTTTATAGCAGAGAGAGTGGAGGAAGGGGAGAAAAGAGAACAAATTACTGACAGTCATCAGAAGATATTTCTTGAAACTGATCTTTTCTTGCAAGTGAGTTCAATACAGGGGCACCTGCACGGAATAGCCAAGAACCCTCTCCAGAGCCCTGGCCAGCTCTTGTACTGAAGCTGCCAAGACAGCATCAGTACTTTTTCCAGCAAAGATTTTCTGTCTGGAACTGAATCCTGCTTCCATTTGCAGGCAAGAAGAAACTCAGACCTCTATTGACCTCACTTAATTTTCTTCAAAAAGGAAGAGATTTTGTTAACACAAAAAACATTTGTAAGATTTAGAAGTAATTGAGTTCAGAGGGACCCCACACCAGCTCTATCCACAGAAATCTTGCAGCAGGATCCAAATCACAGCCAGAAGATGCCATTTGATATAAACAACTTGTCTCAGTAATTTGCCTTCATACTGCAGGAGTCTGTGAGCACGTCTCACCCTGAAGTGCAAGCAGGGAGCACCTGGGAGCTGTGACAAAGGCAACACAAGCATTTGCAGGAAAAGGTCAGGCTGTGCTGTGGCAGTGACATTTGGGCAGCATCTCCTGAGGCAGCAGCATTTGTGAGAAACCTCAAAAAAAACAGCTAAAGGAGATTAAACATGTAAATGCCGCAGGGTGGAATTAGAGAGCTTCCCACATGATTTACAAAAGGAGCAGCAGAACTGCACTTGCCCTGGTTTCAACAGACTGGCCTTTCCCATATTGGAAAGGGTGTGAGTTTACACTGGACAGTTGGAAATGCTGCTCTGGCTGCAGGGCTGGGCAATGAGACCACCCCATGTGTGAGAGCCACCCCTGTTCTTTTCACCAGCCCCTGGGTTCAGGTGTTCTTGGCACTGATGTGGTC